CCAGTTTTAAAACCAGCAAGACACAGACATAAAAAATAACATCTATACAGGCTTCTACTGTTGGGGCTGACGTGTATCTTAGAATAAGTTAAGTCTATGCATTAAGAATGCATTTTCCCAAGTAATTTTCCATGAAAATTCCTATCTTTAGTAAATAAGAAAGGTTACCATGCTCTTTCTGATTTTTACTGCTGTGTGTCACTGCTCTCTTTCATTTAATAACCTACAATCTCTTAACACTTAGCAATATATTTTGTGTAAACTACACACCATTTTTGCTCTGAAGCAACGCTCTTGGTTCTCTGCCTACGCTCCCATTGCGTGAGAGGTGCATAAACCAAACACCTCTTCCTGCTGGTGCAGTTGCCACTTTTCATCTCTAGTACAATATTCCTCTAATCAGACAGTGCCTGCAAATGCAACTTACAAGAGCAGGTTGTAATTTCATTAAAGATGCATTTACTGAGCTAAACCAGCTGTTCCGAGCTGGAACGCAAAGAAAGAAAAGGCCCACGTGATTGCTACTCAGTCATTTTTAAGGCAACTGAAAAATACATTTGCTGAGCTAACCTCACTCTCCCAAAGAGCTGGCACTGCTAGCTTCTCCTCTGTGAGAGGCCTGAACAGTTATTACAGTGTGCCATAAAGTTTAACTTGTAATTGAAATCTCTTCACTTCCTAAAAGAAAAAAAAATATATACAAATCCATATTACTTGCTGTGTAATTACAGACTATGCAGCTGCTCTCTTCAGCTTCGCTAGAATATCTGAAGACATGAAACACTGCACAAACCTTATTCAAATTTGATTCAATTGCTAGTCACAGATATGCCACTCTCATACTGGAGGCTCTCAAATAATATTGCTTTCTTCCTGTTACCAGGGCTAAAAAGCAGACGAATCAGAAGTTGATCCAGGCCATACTGAGTTCCTCTCCACACAGGAGACCATCAGCTCCTTAGCAGGAAAGCATCATCTCTGTTTCTGCCAAGCAGACATCAAAGGGAAAGCTACCTGGATATGTGGCTGGAAAAAATCTTTCCTGTATAAAGACTATTTTGATTTCATTTTCAACAGGTCCTGGTTATTATGCATGGCCACAATGGTCTGAATTGCTTTAGTACAATTTTTGTGTCATTTCCTTGTGTCACTTATAATGAGAAGAAACTCTATTCACAAAAGAGTGAACCTAATATTTCAACCAAAGGCATAGGACTGGTGACCCCACAATATCCTGTTCACCTCCAGTAGTTTGACATGTGTTATACTCAATTAACTATCCCCTAGCCTTTGTGTACTGTGGAAGCTATAGTACGATGCTGAATTTTTAGAGCAATTAAAATAAAATACACACCATGTGCCTGTACCCTTGACTCACAATGAATTTCAGCCTTGGGTCACTAATCTGAAATCAACAGCTTCTGGGAAAAAAGCTTTACACACCCCAGGCTTAGCAGTGTGCTTTGTTTTAACCTGTTGGTGTAGTATCAACATTGTTAATAGCAAGCTTTAATTTGCTGGGATTGGTTTAGTCTCTAAAAAGAATTTTCAAGCCTGAAGAACGTAATTAATTGATAATGAAAGTCTAGTAAATTCACAGTAAAAGGACTATGAAAACAGCGTAAGTCGTAACGCTGTTTCCCACTGGTCCTTCTTATCACTTTCTTAATTCCTGCCCAGCCACACACAGAAGAGCTCCATGATGTATACCACAGTATTTGACATCTCAAGTCAGGTCTACAAGATGTTGGACAGGTAACTTCCTTGACTGGTAGTGAGACCCATTTTTCCTAGGCATTTTGAAAACTTCCACTATAAGAACCTCTTTAAGGTTTTAAATTCAAAACGTACACTATAATAGTTGGTTTATATCATCAATTCAAAATAGCTAAAATTTGGAAGGAAGCCTTGCACCCTCAGAATAAACTGATGTCCATCTGTTCTCAGTTTTAAAGCATGGTTATTCATAAATTTCTGGGTAATTACATAGAAACTTCAACAAAATGGCCAAATTACACTTTTTTCCATAGTCATATTTTCAAACATAATAATTCCTTTAGAAGCTGCTTTTTTTCCCCCCTCATTCAATCCAATTGCAACTGGAGATGCTTACAGTTCACCAGGGACCTTTATAATTAAAACTGTAACAGCCTGAAATTATTTTCCACTTATTACTCAACACACCAATCGGTGCAGCAATACTGTTTATATTTGCCACCAGAAATAAATGCAATTACTTTTATCTTGGCTTCCACATGTGTCACTAAAAAAGCTAAAAGGAAGGAGGACAGAAAAACGGAGAAGGATTTCTGAAGGCTATGGAGCCGGTGTCACTGATTGTGGCATTCACCAGGAGGATTACAGAAACAAAATGCATACACGACTTCAGCTCATCTCACTTTGCTAGCACTGGGCTAGATGCTTCTGAAAGCTGAACTAACAATAGACACTGTTGAAGCAGGTACCTTCTATAAGTGTCTTGTAACCTGGGGATGAAGCCAAAGGAAATTATTAACAGAATGAAAACAGATGTGCAAAGAACATCGTTAGGTGGAGAAACCAGAAAATGGATATTGAAAACTGTAAGACAAATAGCTGCACAGATAAGCTCACAAGAATTTCTGTATATAGAAAGAATTAAAAAGGACATCACTTGAGGGATTCCTGTTTCACTGTAGATCTTTGTAATACAGGAGCTCAGAAGATAAAGCTGATTTTGGTTTTGCCTCAAAAAAGAGAAAATAAAACCCTTCCCACCTCATCACGGAGGAAAAACCTTTCTTCTTTCTAAGATGAAATATTCTTCTTCATTTATAAAGTTGCTATGTTATCATTTTCTCATCCATCTATCCATTTAGACTACACCTGGGCACATTTCTTTGCTTGCATTAAAAAAGCCAGAAAAAAATAATAGCTTTTCTTTTAGCTGTTCCAAGTTTATCTTCCTTGATCAAGCACCATACAGCATGGTTTGCAAATTTCCACTTTTTTGACAGTGAAAGCTCTGCTCACATATCTTGCTATACAAATGATACCATTTAGAAAAGGAAACATACAGTCCTGGTCATCAGATGTATTTGCTTTGTTAGTAGCTGTTAGACTCTACCAGACGACCACAATCCCTGTGGCTCAGGTGGTGGCAACTTGCTACATGAGCAGAGGCAGTGGTAGTCCTCTATTACCTGAGGTGGTCTCCAGTGTGAGATTTGGCAACCTTGCCCCTTCTTTGCCCACCCCTCTGATGCTCTGGGAAGCAGAGATAAATGAAGACATATCCCCACTTTCTGCTTTAAAATGCCAAAACACAGTTAATAAAATGTTAAACAGCAGAGTAAAACCACTGCGAAACATTGTGAGTAGTTTCTGAGCCTGAAGTTGATTATGATCAGAATGTATCTGATGAATCTTCTCTTCTTCTAGTTTTAAAAGCCCAGTGAAAACTCTTTCTACGATTCCTGTTACATTTCTTCTTTACAAACACATCAGGAATGAACAGAAAAGATTACCCCTAAGGCCATAATACTATGTTTTCCACCATCAGATAGGAAAGAAAACAAAGGAACATAGTCACTGGAAAAAAAACCTAATAAAAAGTTAAACCTAGTCAAAGGCAATGTTCGTTCATCAGCTATTACTTCTGCTTATAAGACCTAGAAATAGAGATGATTTAAAACAACAGTAGCAGCACAACAGTAAGAACAAATCACAGAAGCACAATGTATTTACTATGACTACACTGCAATGTACGGTTAAATGGCAAACAAGGAGGAAAAACTCATCCTGCCATCCAGAAGTCTGATCTTCAAAATATTGTATGAACTACACACATATACATCTACCAGTACAATTAGCAGAACAGCTATGTAATTTTAATGAACACAAACTAGCCACAAACACCATTGCAGCAACTCTTTTTTAAGATGATGACTGGAGGAGCACAAATAACACTGACAGCCAGTCTACGTAAGTCCAGTGTTTAAAGCACTGGCTTGAAGAACAGAACATTTAGATTTTTTTTCTCCTTTCTTCACATTCCATTGGCAACATCCCAGGAATAACCAACCTTTGCCTTTCCCTCATGGGAAAGAACAATCGATTGTGGTGGGCAAAAAAAAAAGGCACTATTCATGTCTCCTGTTCACTTAAAAGTATGATGCAAAAGTGAATCAGGTGTCACAGGGCCAGAAGGATCAGCTGGGTTATG